TGTTTTGTGGTGTCCTTGCCTGGTTTTGGTATTAGAGTGATGCTGGCCTCATAGAATGAGTTTGGGAGTATTCCCTCCTCTTCTACTTTTTGGAAAACTTTAAGGAGGATGGGTATTAGTTCTTCATTGAATGTTTGATAAAATTCAGCAGTAAAGCCATCTGGTACAGCAATTTTATTCTTAGGTAGTTTTTTTTTTATTACCAATTCAATTTCATTGCTGGTAATTGGACTGTTCAGGTTTTCTGTTTCTTTTCAGGGTCAGTCTTAGAAGGTTGTATTTTCTAGAAAATTGTCCACTTCTCCTAGGTTATCCAATTTGTTAGCATATAATTTTTCATAGTATTCTCTAATAATTATTTGCATTTCTGTGGTGCCTATAGTATTTTTTCCTTTCTGATTTCTAAATTTTGTTTATATGTGTGCACTCTCTTTTTTTCTTGGTAAGTCTGGCTAGGAGTTTATCTATTTTGTTCATTTTCTCAAAGAACCAGCTGCTGGTTTCATTGATCTTTCTACTGTTTTATTCTCAATTTTATTTATTTATGCTTTTATCTTTATCATGTCCCACTTTGGGCCTCATTTGTTCCTCTTTTTTGAATTTCATTAATTGTGAGTTTAAACTGTTTATTTGAGATTGTCCTTCTTTCCTGAGGTAGGCCTGTATTGCAATATACTTCCCTCTTTGAATGGCTTTCACTATGTCCCACAGATTCTGGGGAGTTGAGTTGTTGTTTTCATTTGTCTTCATATATTGCTTGATCTCTGTTTTTATTTGGTCACTGATCCATTGATTATTTAGGAGCATGTTGTTAAGCCTCCATATAGTTGTGGAATGTTTTGTTTCCTCTGCACAATTTATTTCTAGTTTCATACCTTTGTGGTCTGAGAAGCTGGTTGGTACAATTTCTATCCTGAATTTACTGAGGCTCTTTATGTGGCCTAGTATGTGAGCTCTTCTTAAAAATGTTCCATGTGCACTTGTATCCTGTTGCTTTTAGGTGGAATGGTCTATAGATGTCTATTAGGTCCACCTGTTCTAATGTGTTGTTCAGTGTCTCTGTTTCCTTACTTATTTTCTGTCCATTGGAGTGAGTTGTGTGTTGAAGTCTCCTAAAATGAAGCATTACATCCATTTTTCCCTTTAATTCTGTTAATATTTGTTTCACATATTTAGGTGCTCCTTTGTTGGGTGCATAGGTTTTTACAATGGTTATATCCTCTTGATATTTGCATGAAATATCTTCTTTCATCCTTTCACTTTTAGTCTGTGTATGTCTTTGGGTTTGAGGTGAGTCTCTTGAAAGCAGCATATAGAAAGGTCTTGTTTTTTTATCCATTCTACTACTCTGTGTCTTTTGATTGGTGCATTCAGACCATTTGCATTTAGGGTGGTTATTGATGATACATACTTACTGCCATTGCAGGCTTTAGATTCATGGTTACAAAACGTTCAACAATAGCTTCTTTACTATCTAACAGTCTAACTTAACTCACTTATTATGCTATTTCAAACAGTCTGTAGGGTTTTTTCTCTCTCTTCTTTCTCTTCCTCTTACAGTCTTTTTGTATTAGGTGTTATATTCTGTACTTTTTGTGTATCCCTTGACTGACTTTGTGGGTAGTTGACTTAATTTTGCACTTGCTTAGTAATTAATTGATCTACTTCCTTTATTGTGGTTTTATTTTCTCTCATGACAGATTCTTAGCCTTAGGAGCACTTCGGTCTACAGCAGTCCTTTAAAATACACTGTAGAGACAGTTTGTGGGAGGTAAATTCCCTCAACTTTTGCTTATGTGGAAATTGTTTAATCCCTGCTTCAAATTTAAATGATAATCTTTCTGGGTAGAGTAGTCCTGGTTCAAAGCCCTTCTGTTTCATTGCATTAAATATATCATGCCACACCCTTCTGGCCTTTAAAGTTTCTGCTGAGGAGTCTGATTATAGCCTGATTGGTTTTCCTTTTTTTCTCTCTCTGGGTGCTTTTAATCCTCTTTCCTTATCCTTGATCTTTGCCATTTTAATTATTATATATCTTGGTGTTGTCTTCCTTGGGTCCCTTGTGTTGGGAGATCTGTGCACTTCCATGACCTGAGAGAGTATTTCCTTCCCCAGATTGGGAAATTTTTAGTGATTATTTCCTTAAAGAGACTTTCTATTCCTTTTTCTCTCTTCTTTTTCTGGTACCTCTATAGCGGATATATTGTTCAGTTTGGATTGGTCACACAGTTATTATTATTCTTTCATTCCTAGAGATCCTTTTTTCTCTCTGTGCCTCAGCTTCTTTGTATTCCTGTTCTCTAATTTCTATGTCATTTACTGTCTCCTCTACCTCTTCTAATCTCCATTGTATGTTTCATTTCAGATACTGTATTTTTCAAAGTTTCTCTTTCTTGAAGTCCTCCCTGAGATCTTGAATATTTTTATGTAACTCTGTGAGCATATTTATGATTTTTATTTTGAAATCTTTATCAATAAGATTAGTGATTTCAATTTCATTTAGCTCTCTTTCTGGTGTTTGAGAGATTGTGGTTTGTACAACTTCCTTTTGCCATGTCATATTTCTAATGATTAGTATGAAATAATGACTTTATGGAGGCACTTCCCTCTAGTGCCCAGAAACTATACTCTGTGGTGCTTCCCAGCACTTGGAGCAATGGCGGAGGTCACAGGTGAGTGGCACTGGTGCCTGTCAGGAGGAAAGAGCTCTTTCCTGCTTCCTGGCTGCAATGCCTGCCTCCACAGCCAGGGCCAGTGGGCTGAGCATGTAGGGAGGAACCTCTGCGTTACACCCCTGTAGCTGCTGTCGGTAGGGCTGCCCTCCAGCTGGCCTTGTGCAATGGAGGGGACAGTAGGTTTATTAGCAGTTGCTGGCTGGGAGAAAGGAGCAACAGGCTATGTATCATGGTGGGCGGCCTCAGTGCTACATTGCCAGCTGGGAGATAGAGCGCCTGAAGCTCCTGGAAGTTCTGAACTTGTTGGGGTATGTGGACTGGGATGATTTATTCCACCTGTCCTTTCTCCTGAGCAGTAAGCTTTGTGTAATCCTTGCCCCTTTAGCAGCCCTCTCACTTTAGGGAAGTCTTTCAAAGCACCCACCTTCTTTTTTCCGGGAGCAGCTGGTTTGGGGTACCTGTTCTCCACGAGTAGCTAGAATCTGTCTCTGAGTATTCTGCCTGTCTGCTTTCCAGCCCCTCTAATCTCCAGAGCACCATGCAATGTGGGTTTGTGCTCCTGGAGCAGATCTCCACGGGTGGGTGTTCAGCACTCCTGGGCTTCTGCTCTCTCCCTGCTCCATTTCTCTTCCTCCCACCTATGATCTGGGGTGAGGGAAGGACTTGTGTCCTGCCAGATCATGGCTTTGATACTTTACCATTCTCTGTGAAGTTTTCCCCATATGTAGTAGTCTGTCTCAGTCTTCAAGTTGCTCTTTCAGGATTAGCTGTATTTGCAGATTTTCATGTTACATGTGATTTTGGGAGGAGGTTTCTGCCTCACTTCTCACACTGCCATCTTTTTCCCTGCCTCCCCCAAGAACTTTTTTCCCTCAGAGGGATCTGAGAATATTGCCACTCTGATGTCCCACCTTCACTTAACCCTCTAATGTGTATTTCCTATAAACAAGGATGTTCTCTTAGATAACCTCAGTACAGCTATCAAAATCAGGATGTTAACACAGATACATTATTACTGTCTAGTCCTGAGACCCTATCCAAGTTTTGCCAGATATTCCAGCAATTTCAGTGGCAAAGGATTTGGTTCACAATCAAGCAGTGACATTAGTCATCATTTTTCTTCTTTGAGGACCAGGTTAGAGTAGTTCCATAGTCTTTCCTTGACTTTCTTTACCTTGAGACTTTAAAAGTCTGCAGTTATTTTATAGAATATCCATCAGTTTGTTTTGGTAGGATGATTCCTCAGGATTAGATTCAGATTAAGAATCTTTGGCAGAAATACATGTCATAGATGTGATGCTATGTTCATCTCACTGGATCCTATGAAGTGGTATAAATTTCGATTTGTCCCATTACTGATAATCTTCACATCAATCTTTTGACTAAGGTGGTGTCTGCCTTTGTGATTAGTGTGCATTTTGTGGGTGAGATGCTTTGAAACTTTATACTTCATCAAAATTTCAATTTATCAATTAATATATCAGTGTGGACTCATGGTTTCCTGTTTATCCAATGGGTTATAATGCTCACTATATGTATTTTGATGGTCAAATTTGGTCACATTTGGTCACTATAAACTGGCTCTTATGATCCAGTGACATATCCCCATCTTCCTTGACTATGTCCTTGGTTTCTGGCAGACATGGCCTTCTTACCCACTCAGGCTGCACCTGAGCCAGATCTCTTCTCTGCTTGGACCCCTTCCTCATCCTATTCAGGCCTAACACCCTATTCTGAACTACCAAGTCCCCTCACCAATCTGGACAGGGATGTCTATCGTTCTCTGACCTACCTATTGGCTTTTTTTGACTTACCTAATGGCTTTAGGACTGAAGTGTTCAGGAACAGAAAGGAAGGAAAGGGAAGGGAAAGGGGAGGGAAAATAGAAAGAGTTACATACAATAAAAAAATTGCAACAATTCTCTTTCATTTACTTATATTCCGATGTTTCTTCATTCCCCACTAGAATGTAAGCTCCATGAGATGGTGCTAGTTTGTCTTATTTTACCATTATATGCCTAGCACTTAGATTATTTCTTGACACAAAGTAGGCATGTTTTAAACTTTTTGAATAAATTAATGAATGAATGACATGAGAAAAAATTATCTTTATAGCTACTATGTTGGAAAATGTACAGAACCTACAACCCAACTTACACAAGCCTTGAACTGAAACCTGGCTTGAGTGTCACACCCAGCACAGAGCATGGCTCCTAGTAGGTGCTCAGGAAGTTCTTTCTGAGTGGGCACACCCAAGGAGTTACCTGATATGTACATTTTACTTGCTGTGTGTGTCACAGTGGAAGAAAAAGCTGGCAACTATGGTTTTAAATGATGAAAGAAGTTTACTCAATTTTCATATGATAACAGGATGAATAGGTTCAATGTTCAATTTGAACATAACAAACATTTAACACTTAACAAATGTTTGTTAAATAAGTGAGGTGGAATAATCATCAGAGGTGGAAATGGAGTTGGATAAATTCAGGCTAGTAAATATGAGAAGGAAAACCAGAAATTAAATGATTTAAATGCTGGGTTAGACAGAAGGCAGAGATCTGTGGGTCTCAGTAGAGACAGACTAATGACAAAGAAAGATGCTGAAGGGTGTACTCTGATTATAGTTTAAAACCTCATTTCAAGATTTAGTGACATAAAGTAAATTACTAACATGATTTGCCAGCATCTGTCTACTTATAACTACGGTTCTTTCCTCCACAGCAATAGGAATGCTTTTCAAATTAAAATAATTCATTTACCTCCCCCATCCAGGTGGAGTGTAAGAAAAAAGGTCCTACAGACTTTTAACCAGATGTATTTAGGCTATTTTGTATCAACCTGAAAGATGAATTGTTCATCCTTTCAATAAATACTGATGGTCTAGTCTGTGCAAAGGTGCTGTCTTAGGTGCAGGAGGTACAACACTGGGGCAGGGAGGATCCCTACCTCCTTGGACTTTGCAGCCTGATAAAAGCCAGAGTAGACAGAGACAGGGGAGGCCCAAGGACAGACTACAGAGCCAGGACATCAAAAACAAAATGGAAAAGTCAGTGTTTTGGAGCAATGAATCAGTCCTTCAGAACACGTAGTCACTGCTTTTGCTTGAGATATTGTCGTTTCACAAAACACACTTCTCCAAAGCAGGCATGAATGTTTTCGTTATCCACCCTGTTCTCTGCCCCAGCATGGCAGGTGATTGGGCAATCATTATAATCCAACTGCATCTGATGCTAGTTTGACCCAGACTATTTAACTGTGTAGAGTTTGGGGTTCCATATGTGAGGCAAAGTTACAAAACTCTTAAAAAATAGGATATATGAGGAAAGACTAAAGTAATAAGAGGGAGGTTGCTGGTGATAAAAATAATAGCCTTCAGGACCTTCAAAGTGTGACTGATGTTAGGCCAAGAAAGTTTTCTCAGATTTGAATTTAAAAGTGTTTGAAATAGACAAAAAAATATATTTAAAACAAAAAGGAAAAATTGCAATCATGATTAGTAGTAGTGTTATCTCCACACTGCAATAAAAGGAACACAAACAGAACAACATGCAACATTGGGCCTGGGAACACAGATCAGCCTAGAGACCAAGACTCAAATTTAAGTTTAGTTTCTAAACTATTTTCAAGTTGAATATGTTCAAGTTTGGATGTCAAGAGAAAGAAATAAAGGTCCCCTGAGGCCATGCAAAGGAAGAGCTGTAGACACAGACTGACTAATGTTCTGCTTCCTGCTTTTTATTTGACTTGCTATAAGAATTGCCACCCAATGGCCAGCATACATGGGCTTTGAAAAGATCTGTAATTTCTTTCTCTTCGTGATTCTGTGCGCTGCTGTATAGAGCAAGAAAAACAAAACTAGAGATGGTTTTCCTGATTCCCACAGCCACAACCTGCCCTTGCCAATGAAAGCCCCAGCCCCTGAAAGTCAGACATAACCCATCAGTCGATGTTCATTTTCTACTGTGTGCCAGGGCAAGGTGCTTTCTCGTAAGGGTGACCTGGGTGAGAAGCTGGGATAAGGGATATACCCAAACCTGGGGACCCAACAGGAGCTAATGCGGATCACATGCTCACCCCCAGGGCCTGATCTGAACATCTTCATAGAACTTGTAAGTATTTCTCTTATAGAAAATAAGAGAATTTTGCTTCTCTTTTCTTTCCCATTCTTGTCAGTTCAAGTTTTTTCGTGTGTCCTAATAACCATATATTTCATTTTCTACCCATCCAGACTCCTCGCTTCTCCCCACTCGGTCTTGGGAGAACACATAGATGTTATTGGTCACAAAGCAACTCTCCATGCTTGCCAGAGTCACAAATCCACTTTCGGATGGGTTCACAGCAATGTTGTCATAGTCACAAGACATGTCATCGGGAATGGCTTCTCTTGAACACACTCGGAATGAAATGTTCTGCAGGTCTGGCCGGGTCTCAGCCAGATCAGCCTCGCTTTGTTTCCGTATGACCTTATAGACCTCTAGGTCCGGGCTGTTTCCTTGGTGAGGAGAGGGCCAGATGGCATGCTGCCCCTTTGTGCTGGGGCCTGGCTGCTCCCATTTCCTAGGAGGAAGGAAAACCAGGGCTGAGTATTTTAGACAAGGGGATCAAGTTACCTCTATGCCTCCTGTGCAGACAGAAGGAAGTCATCCTTGTAGTCACTATGCTGTACTTCTCACCCACCTACACTTATAGGTCAGGGCTTGGGGTGGGGTGGGGTAACAAAACAGGAAACTGTTATGTTCACTGTGATGGTGTATTTATCACTCCCTGCTGCCAGAGCACAAAACAGAGGTGGTCATACTGGGATCCCCAGATCCCCCAGAGGCCCATGGATAGAGCTGGATGGGGAAAAATATCACATTTTTAGAAACTTGTCTCTAAGAGAAATCTAGCTTGTCTTCCAATTTGTGTAGAATAAGTAATATCTTTGACTTGGTCACCAATAGAAATTAGTATTTTCATATTACATCACTGTTATTATAGATGCCTTATAATAGTTTGCTTTCATCTCTATTTCAAAATTATGATCATTATACCCACCACTAAATAATGGAACATTAATAAAGAAGCACATGCATTACTGTATCACCTCTTCAGTTTTGGAAATATTTGGTAAGCTGCGTATCAGCATAATTGCTTCCCTTACAATCCAGTGTATTCTGGGAAGAGGTCTATAAGTTTCATCAGACAGCTACAGGGATTTGTGGCACAAAAAGGGTTAAAACTTCCTGAGATGGACTCCTGCTTCAAAGTCATAATTCCCAAATCCTGGTGAGGTGCTAAATAGGTAGAGAAAGAGAGGGAAATCAGGAATGATTTGTAGCTTTTGAAATGGATTCAATTTTTAGATTAAAAGGAATTAACTAATAAAAATGGTCAAAGTAAGAGCTATCATTTTTGAGTGCTTACATATGCTTGTTCTGCATGTATTAATTGCTTTTATTTTCCTCCTAATAATCCTATAAGGAAGTTATTATTAAATGAAGTAGGGTCTATACTGGAATCTTACTAATTCATCTTAAATTGCTCATCTAAGATCTAAGTCAAATTTTAAATCAGACATTAGTTTTCCTGCTGTGAAATGGGCATACCGGCCCTCTTCTATGCTTATCACATTGATGGGGAATAAATGGTAACTGAGAAGAGCTCTGGGTACCTAAAAAATGTTGGCACTTCATGGGCAAACAGAGATGCTCTAGGCTACTTAGTGTAGTTATTTTGTGGCAACCTACAATTGTGTATTCAAGTAAAGGAAAAGTCAGTTTAAAGGATTTGGTTATTTCATTTTGAACAATATGATTTAGTTTCAGATGTTTGCCAGAATGCTTTAAAACAGTCATTTTTCATGTGGCTCATTATTCATTCCTTCACTTACCCAACAAAAAATTTTTGTTGTGAGAAAGTACATTTGTGAGTGCACTTTGCTGAATGATATGTGGATACACGGGAAGTGAATAACACAGATTCATCCCTCAAGTCATTTAAAATCTTCCACACAGAAAAATTAAAGAATGTTTAAGACAACTCTCTTAATTCCAGCTAAGCACAAATGCTTAGTACTTCTGAATACTCTGAGTCCATCAGAGATATTACTTTCAAATCTGCCATGATGATTCTCTTGGAAAGGTCATGGTTTTTAATGAGTAAACAGGGCAATGTTGAAATGTTAGAGTTCAGAACTTACAAAGATTTACATGATGAAGGTTTTACTTGCCTCCTTCTACAGACCCAAACCCAACATACAACTGTGGTGACCACGAGGAGGAGGAGAAGGGGAATGCTGGGGATTAGGATGTAGGTAAGTTTCAAGGCAGCTTCTGAAAAGAAAAATGCACATTATTAGCATTATGTGCTCCAAAACAGGCTTAAAAAAGCATAATCAGCACAGAGTATTCCAAGGAGCACATTCCTAGAAGGAGATAGATATACTGTTACTCAGTTAGGAAAGTCCCCTAGTTTTAATAAATGAGGATTTTCTACCTGTCCTATTACCCTAACCACTAGAGAAAAGAAGTTTAGATTTTGTGGTCTCTCGTAAAATATCAGAAGGGCACTTCTGTTAACTAAAATTTTTTTTCAGAGGGAAGAGATTCTCTCTTTTCTTGTTCTTCCTCTCCCTTAATAAAGCAGAGGCTGCTGGATGGCACGATGTCTTGATTCTAAGGACAGAAGTAGTGGTCTCAAGGTGGGATCGGAGAGAGGGAGCGAAATGAAGCAAGCTGGAAATCTCAGTGTTTATTACCAAGAAAGACAAGGTTTCAGGAATCCCATGCATCAGACTGTACACCCTTCCCAACATTTCTAAAGCTGATTGGATCCAGCAGGGCCATGAGCAGGGATTGCGGGTCTACTGTCCTGCCCTGTCTTCTCCTCTACAACTTAGGACCTGAGGAATCAAGGATTAGGGACTGACCCCTTTCCTGTTCTCACTGGTCCAAGGTTTCCAACCAGGCAGAGGGTGTTGCTTGTCTTTCTGTTAGGTTGCAAACCTGATGACCACAACAAACAAACAACCAAAAAAGAAAAAACCTACTCTGACCACCACCAGAATAACAATGACCAATAAAAATGCCACCCACCTCTGTGTAGTACTTTGTACTTTTTTCAAATCACTTTCGTGTATTATTTTTGTTGTATAATAATTTGACTGGTCTTTGTCCCTGGTTTATGGGACATAGGTTCTAAATCTTTGGAATTTCTCAGGAGTGACTTTTTGTTTTAATTTTTTATTAAGGTATCATTGATACACACTCTTATGAGGTTTCACATGAAAAAACAATGTGGTTACTACATTTAACCATATTATCAAAGTTCCCACCCATACCCCGATGTAGTCACTGTCCATCAGTGCAGCAAGTTGCCACAGATCCACTATGTGCCTTCTCTGTGCTACACTGTTCTCCCCGCAATGCCCCCCACCATGTGTACTAAACATAATACCCCTCAATCCCCTTCTCCCTCCCCCCCTGCCCACCTTCCCCCACCCCTCCCCTTTGGTAACCACTAGTTCATTCTTGGAGTCTCTGAGTCTGCTGCCATTTTGTTCCTTCAGTTTTGCTTCATTGTTATACTCCACAAATGAGAGAAATCATTTGGCATTTGTCTTTCTCCACCTGTCTTATTTCACTGAGCATAATGTCCTCCAGCTCCATCCATGTTGTTGCAAATGGTTGGATTTGCTTGTTTCTTATGACCAAATAGTATTCCATTGTGTATATGTACCACATCTTCTTTATCCATTCATCTACTGATGAACACTTAGGTTGCTTCCATATTTTGGCTATTGTAAAAAGTGCTGCCATAAACAGAGGGATGCATATGTCTTTTTGAATCGCAGAG